TTTCGGAGAGTTTTGACTATTATTTTAAAACAACGATATGTTAGCGGATATAAATTTATCTGCCTACCATACTATATAATATAATATGTTTATTATGCCAGTTTACAGGCAATTGTAAAGAGTTGGTAATGCACTTCTTGCTATGCCAGTTTACAGGCAATTGTAAAGAGTTGGTAATGCACCTCTTGGGCGCTGGAAAAAACTTAAAACAAACTCCCTATGTTGCAGCCAGTATTGGTTTTGCTTCAGGTTTTGTGTTTTGTCAATACTGGGCGAGATAGGGATTTTGTTTCAAGTGAAAAAAACCTGACTAAACACTTCAACTGCCTATATGGTTGCTCACAAAGAGCAGCATTTATCAACTTTATATTTATTTTTCCACAGCACTAAGTTTGCATAGGCCCTCCGGGCCTAAAATATAAAATTTATTTATTTATTTATCAGATTTTTGTCAAGCAGCCTTTATCAACTTTGTATTTATTTTTCCACAGCACTAAGTTTGCAATGACGAGGCCCTCCGGGCCTAAAATATAAAATTTATTTATTTTTATTTATATCGGAAGTAGTGGGTGATGGAAGTTAACGAAAAAACACTTGGAAATTAAATTAAATGATCAATTACCGGTGCAATTGGAGGTTTACCACATGGTCAAGCTGCTTGCATAGGTCAGGTTTCTCCCACCCTATGTATTCAGATTATCTGCAGCTTTTCCCAAGACCTAATTACGGTCTCTCAAATCGAGTTCTGATGAATCAGCTGACAAGTAGCTGCTGAAAAGCTGTCGCAAAATTTGTAGATATCAATAAATCCAGTTGTTTATGCCCGCTTTCAATTTTTACTGGGGAAAAAATGCTTCAAGTTTATTGCATTGTCAATACATGTCCATTTTTCCACAAATAATAGCTACACTGTTGTGCCCCGATTTTGAACTACTTACCTGTCGTACATATAAACAATATTGCAGAGTGTGCAGTGACCCAATTCCTTGCGAACGCTGCTAACGAGTGCACATACACTGATGTGAGCCTGCCTCGGTTTGGCAAATCATCTCCCTGAGGTGTTCGTGACGACCCCACGCTGTCACAACTCGGAGGCCTACCCTCACGACCGAACGCACGCTGCTCCAGCTGCCAACTTCCTCCTAGTTATTCTCCACTTTCTTCTGTAGAGAATAAACTGTTTGTAGAACTTGGCGTCTCCCTTCGTATCTTCCCACAAGAACCGGGCTTGACGATCGTCACGGTAAGGTTTTAACTACTAACTCAACCCATTGTGATAAGTAGCCAGGAATCGAATTAGTCCGTTGCGTAGTAGGTTGAGTTCTTAACACTACGACTGGACCACCATTGGGTCAGAGAGTACAATTATCAATAAAAGTAACACTAAAACAATCCGGAGAAATTTTCTTTGTAAAAGGTTTGACATGTTCATCCAGACGAATATAAAGTATAACGACCGAGCATAGAAACTATGTTCTCAAATATGCAACACTCGTCTTGGAAAGTGACAAGTAGTTGATAAAATTAATGCGCAAGTTGAAGAAATCGCGTCTATTTTGAGGGGAATGGGAATCAATTACAATATGCTATTTTCTAGCAGAAAGCAACGAAACGGTCTTTTTCTGTGATATTTCATGATATTGCAAGCAGAACTCCATCATACTGAGACGTCTTTTTTCCATAGTACACACCAAAGCCGCTGATTATGAATAGACATGCAAATAACGTGGGCTATGATTTTTCTTCTAGATATGTAACGAGCAGCGAAAAGATAATACATTCGTGGTATATGTCACCGATAGGTTATAGAGAGCATGACTAAACGGAGGCATTTGTTTCTGTCGCAGCTATATTAATAAAATTTCACAAACTTGTGTCAGGAATGAGATGACTAAATACCGGCAAATGATAGGCATTGATCGTATTATAAAAACTCTGTTGGTAGGCGGACCTTATGTAGTAAGAAAGAGAATGTAAATAAGCCCTTTCAATAGCACACGCAGTAAAATTATTAATTTCTTGTTCTAATTTTATCTCATAGATTCACTTTTACCCTATTTATTCCATTTTGCCTTTTAACCTGTTTTGTTATACTGTTTCATCTTGCGTAAGCTATGTTGGTTTTACGTTTTGGAGGAGTAGGTTTTGGGTCGTTCAGTGACGCGGCGTGTATGTAGAGTCAGCTTTACATTCTTCGCCATGTGTGATGTTTTCACGATTTCAAGGGTTAAATCCGAAAAGGTTGTCACTTATGTAACCCCCCAAGGCAAAGAGGCTCGTG